GAGAGTGTGGGGGAGAATGTGGACAGGAGAGAGCTTGTAAAATAGATCCCATAAAGTTGCACATGAATTTGTAGGCTCACATGCATGGATCTGACCCTAAACAGTATTCCAGTGACTTTGAGAACCAAACTATTAGGCAGAACACTCAGGTTTCAGACTGGTCACTGGGTGGTGTAAGCTTAGGACTGTTCTGATTTACATGGCAAAGGGTTGAAACTAAGCTGCTATTCGGACTACAGTAGCCCACAGATCAGAACTGAACCTAAGAGGGTCAACTGCCTCCTAAAACAAAAACCTAACATTTTCTGTGGGATTTAAACAAGACCTATTCAAAATGCCTGGGATACAATCAAAATTACACACAAAGAACCAGGAAAGTCTATACCCTGAGATGTCCCAGATGTTGGTATTATCAGAAAATACCTTTTTTTTTTTGAGATGGAATTTTACTCTTGTTGCTCAGGCTGGAGTGCAATAGCATGATCTTCACTCACTGCAACCTCCACTCCCAGGTTCAAGCAATTCTCCAGCCCCAGCCTCCCGGGTAGCTGTGACTACAGGCGCCCACCACCATATCCAGCAAATTTTTTGTAAGTAGAGACACAGTTCCACCATGTTGGCCAGGCTGGTCTGAAACACCTGATCTCAGGTGATCTGCCTGCCTCAGCCTCCCCAGGTACTGAGATTACAGGTCTGAGCCACCATGTCCGGCTCAGAAAAAGACTTTAAAAATGGAAGATGGAAAGTCTTAACAGAGAAATAGAGGACAAAGAAAACAATCAAACAGAAATTTTATTATTATTTTTTAAATAAGCATTTTTTAATGTTTGAGGTAGAGTTTTGCTCGTCACCCAGGCTGGAGTACAGTGGCACCACCTCTACCTCCTGGATTCAAGTAATTCTTCTGCCTCAGCCTCTGGAGTAGCTGGGACTATAAGCACGTGTCACCATGCCCAGCTAACTTCTTTATGTTTAGTAGAATAGAGACAGTTTCTCCATGTTGGCCAGGCTGGTCTTGAACTTCTGACCTCAGGTGATCCACCCGCCTCAGCCTCCCAGAGTGCTGTGATTACAGGCTAAATAAGAATTTAAGAACTAAGAAAATATAAGAATCAAGATTTGGAAATGATGTTTATGACCTATTCCCTGGAAAATGTGAATGTTACTTTATATGACAAAGGAGACTGCAGATGTAACTGATTTTAAAATTGGGATTACTCTGGACCATTAGGTGGGCTCATTCTAATCACATGAGTTTTTAAAGCAGAGTGAATCTCTCTGGCTGGACTTAGATGTAGCAGAAGGAAAAGTTAGAGGTATTTAAAGTGTAAGAAGAATTCACCCTGCTACTTCTGGAGGGGGGCAGATAGAAAGCACCAGAATGTGGGCAGCTTCTATGGAGGAAAGGCCGCCCCCCAGCTGACAGCTAAGAAAACAGGGTCCTCTACCCAGCAACTGCAGTCAACTGAATTCAGTCCAGAACCAGAATGAACATGGAAGCAGACTCTTCCTCAGAGCCTCCAGGGAAAAAAACACATTTGGTTTTGACCTTATGAAATGTGATTTTGACCTTGTGAGACTCTAAGCAAAGGACCTAGTCAAGTCCAATCAGACTCCTGACCTACAGAAATTGTGAGAAAATATATGGATGTTGTTTTGAGCCACTAAGTTTGTGGTAATTTGTTTTTTGTTTTTCCCAGATCTTCTGCAATTTTAAGCATAGAATTTGTGGTAACTTGTTACAGCACCAAGACTAAACTAATACATTACCCAACGTGAGCAGCAGAGAGAAAAAGAAAATTTTTGTGGGTTTTTTGAGACAGGGTCTCACTTTGTCACCCAGGTTGAAGTGCAGTGGTGCGATCTCGGCTCACTGCAGCCTTGACCTCCTGGGCTCAAGTGATACTCTCACTTCAGCCCCAACAAATAGCTGGGACTATAGATGTGTGCCACCACACCCAGCTAGATTTTTTTTTTTTTTTTTTAATTTAATGAAGACTCAGGAATTCACAGATAATGTCAAAAGGTCTAAGGTTCATGTTATCAAAGACACAGAAGTACAGGACAGTATGGTGCAAAAAACGATATTTGAAAAAATCATAGCTGAGAACTTCCCAGATTTTTGAAAGACAATCAAGAGGCTCTGTGAACTCTGATAAGGATAACCCAAAGAAATCCATGCCCATATACATCATAATCAAACTCATGGGAACCAAAGACAAGGAGAAAATCTTTAAAAGCAGCTGGGGAAAAAATGAGGCATTACCTGTTGGGAAACAACCGTTAGAATGCCTGTGGGTTTCTGAGTAGAAACCGTCGGGGACAGAAGGCGTAGAACTTTTTTTTTTTTTTTCAGATGGAGTCTTGCTTTGTTGCCCAGGCTGGAGCGCAGTGTTGTGATCTTGGCTCTCCTGGGTTCAAGCAGTTCTCCTGTCTCAGCCTCTCATCTCAGTAGGTTGGATATCAGGTGTCCTGCACCATGTGCTGCTTACTTTCATATTTTTAGCAGAGATGAGGCTTTTGCCTTATTGGCCAGGCTGGTCTCAAATACCTGAACTCAAGTGATCCAGCCACCTGGGCCTCCCGAAGTGCTGGGATTACAGGCATGAGCCACCACGCCCGGCCTCAATTGTATTTCTATATACTAATAATGAGCAATTGGAAAAAAAACATCTACAACAGCTCCCTCAAGTGAAATATATGAGATCCACCCATGGATCTGAAATCCAAAAATCTGAAATGCTCAAAATCCAAAATTTTTTGAGAGCTGAAATGACTCTCAAAGGAAATACTCATTGAAGCATTTGGATTTCACAGTTGGGACGCTCAAATAATATTTGCTTCAGGTAAAACAAATATGAATCTGAAAAAAATCCAAAATATTTCTGGTCCCAAGCATTTCTTCTTTATTTTTTGAGATGGGGTCTCACTCTTGTCTCCCGGGCTGAAGCACAATGGCACAATCTTGGCTCACTGTATCATCCGCCTCCCAGGTTCAAGTGATTCTCCTGCCTGAGTAGCTGGGATTACAGGTGCCCAGCTGTAAAAGAAAAAGCACTTGGCTTCCACTGGAATCTGGAGCCACAGTTTGGTGTCAAACAGAGCAGCCATGCTTTCGTTTGTTTCAAATGCCGTTTGCTGAAAACCTCTGGATCAGAAGAGCTGGTCTTGAGCCAGGTCCTCGGCACCGAGGGGATGTGAACAATCCTGAATTCCAGTGCCTGCTGATGGAGTCCACTTGTTAGTCCCTTTGACATTGCCCCCTTATGGATCCCAGCAGTCAGCTGGGGTGCAGGTTTTCTTAGTGATTCTAAACAAGGCTGGAATCACTGTTTAGAAGGGATTGGGGGAAGCTGGGATCGTGCTGCTTGCTTCAGGACCCTTTGGTTGTATGTGGATTAAACAAGATGGATGCTCCCAAAAGACCAAGTCTAGGCCTTCTCTGAGGTAGGGTCTGAAAGGACTTAAACCTTTTGTTTTTTTGTTTTTTTTTTAACACACAGGGTAAGTTTTTGGAAGAGTACGTTATAAACAATAAAGGGCTGTGCACAGATAGAACAAATGGCATTGTGAGGATGAGGGTGCCAACCAGGGGCCAGCAGGGTGAAACAGTCTGTCATTCATGATGAGAGCTGCCGTTTGAGCTAAGCACATACCACGTGCCAGGCACTATGCCAAGAAACTGTTGAATCTTCACAACTCTGTGAGAAAAGGGATGTCATTGGACAGATGAGGACAGTGATGCTCCCAGGGCTCCAGGTCACATGAAGAGGAGGTTTCAGGGCTGCGCCTTGGTCTGAAGCTCCAGCCTTCCAAGCCAAGGCCTGTGAGAGAAACCCTGAGGCCTGATGTCAGGCCCGTTTTTCTAATGTGCCCTGGAGAAGGGGACTAACACCACCTTTCATCAAAGGTTGGTGAGGGATGGCCAAGGGCTCTTTGAAACCTAGCCATGTACAATAGCACTCACAAAAAACTTTTTTTTAAAAAAAAAATTTGTATAAAGTGGTACTCAGGTGCAGGGGCTCACGCCTATAATCCCAGCACTTTTGGGAGGCTGATGTGGGAGGATTGAGGCCAGGAGTTTGACACTAGTCTGGGCAATATAGTAAAACCTCATTTCTTTTTTTTTTTTTTTTTTTTTGAGACGGAGTTTCGCTCTTGTTAGCCAGGCTGGAGTGCAATGGCATGATCTCGGCTCACGGCAACCTCCGCCTCCTGGGTTCAGGCAATTCTCCTGTCTCAGCCTCCTGAGTAGCTGGGATTACAGGCACGTGCCACCATGCCCAGCTAACTTTTTGTATTTTCAGTAGAGACGGGGTTTCACCATGTTGACCAGGATGGTCTCGATCTCTTGACCTCGTGATCCACCCGCCTCAGCCTCCCAAAGTGCTGGGATTACAGGCTTGAGCCACCGCGCCCAGCGTAAAACCTCATTTCTTAAAAAAAAAAAAAAAAAAAAAAATTGAGATGGGCATGGTGGCACATCTGTAGTCCCAGCCACTCAGGAGGCTAAGCTGAGAGAATCACTTGAGCCTGCGAGGTTGTGGCTGCAGCGAGCCGTATCATGCTACTGCACTCTGGCAAGACCGTTTCAAAAAAAGAAAAAAAAAATTATACGGTGGAATGCTTTCTTTGAAAACTACTTTATGCATAAGTCCAATCTAGAAAACCAGAATTGGGCCAGTTGTAGTGAAGGTGGAAGCAGAAGTGGCCTGGGACCCCCCAGGATTCCTGGATCACTGCCTGAAGGCAATTTATCTAGTAGATTGGCCCTTACTGTGAGAAGCGCAAGAGGACCCATGATGCTTAAGGCTCTGGCTCTGGGTGTGAAAGAATGAGGTGGAATTGTAGCAGATTCATTCCGGGTCACTCAGTTTTGGGGAGGGCTGCAGGATTCCAGGCCTGCCTTGTGCATTGGGTGCTGGCCTCTTTGTTCTGGGCACCATCTGCCTCAATCTATCTACTGGCCAGTGGAGGCCTGTTACAGGGCAGAAAATTTATTTTCACCATCTCAAAATTAGTGAGTTTAATCTTTTAAAAAATGGATTATAAAGTTAAAAGCTACTGCAACTATTTTCTTGTGCTCATAAAAGGCATCATCTGTTTTCTTGTGTATCAACAAAAGTAGAAAGTTCAAGTTTGGATCTTGGTGTAGGATCAGCAGCAGATCTGTACCTCTGACTCCAGTGCTGGGGCTGGTGGGATGGCTCACAGTGGGATCATCAAACGGACTTCCTTCTCATAGATGTCAGGAATCACTCCCATTGGGGAACTGACCATGTGCACAGTGTTCTTGCCAAACAACTGAAACTCATAGTGGATGAGCTGCTCCCAAAAGCCACTGTTGGGTCGGATGATGGGCCGGCATGACTTGGTCCATGTGTGGGCGTCCAGCAGGGACATGGCGTGGTACTTCATGAGGTAGGCGAGGCACAGGGCGGCTGAGCGGCTCACACCGGCTGCACAGTGCAGCAGAGTACGGCCCTGCTTCATCTCCACACTGTGGATGTGGTCAGCAATAGGGTCAAAGAAGTCACAGAGACGTGAGTTAGGGGTGTCAGCCACAGGTACCTGCATGTACTGGATATCCTCATATAAGGTGTTCACGACCTCCACTGAGACATTGATGACCATGGTGATCTGGTTGCTAGACAGCATGAGCTTGTTGTTGGCGGCGGCACCATTGCTGATATACAGGCTTTTGGTTATCTGTGAGAGGCCGCTGACTGAGGGCTGCGGGAACTGAACCGGGAAGGCACACAAGGGTGCTGTCATCAAGGCGGTAGGTCGGCAATCAGTGAAGCATGAAGGCTGTGTCTTTCTGCTAGGCTGTGTCCACGGAAAACTGCAGGGAGGGAGAGGATGTTTAGAGGGCAGGTGCCCAGAGGGCCAACTCCAGGAGATCCCTGGGAAGTGGACAGGCCTACAGCATTCCTCAAGGTAGTCCTCTGACCATCTCAGCAGAATTACCCTGCAAACTCATTAAAAGTACAGATACCCAGGTCCCTCTCAAACCCATGGAGTCAGACTCTTGGGGTGAAGAGCATGAGTCTGCATTTTCAGCCTGCCCCTCAGGTGGTCTAATGTGCACTGCCCTATAGGACAAAGGGCAAGTCCCCAAGTCTGGCACTTGAGGCCTTCCTTGAGGGGCCCCACAGTTCCAGTTGGGCAGATGATTTGTGTCCCTCAGCTGTGCCCTGGGCTGCCTCTCCATTTAAGCTCACAAACCCTCTTCTTGCCCCTCTGAGTGGGAACCACTTATACAATCTTCCTCCTTAGTCTTCTGACTTTATGCCCAAATCATAAGGCCCTGGGCCAGTGGCATGGAACCAGAGTCCATTGTGCTGGCAGTCACTGAGGGGGTGGTATAAGAGTAGGGAGGGTCCCATTTTCCCCCTCTAAGAACCATCTCTTTGAAGAGACAGGATATGCCCATGTGAAACTGATGTCAAATACAAAGTCCTAAATTATTAGACATGCTCCTGCATCTTGCCTCTGAAGAGGGCCTGGGAAAGGGAGTGGCCGAAAGCTTCCCGGAAGCCAGCATCATGCGCACCACAACAACCCCAGGGGCAAGCACAGAGAGGCAGCAGGGCCTCCAGAAGACCTGCCACACCTGCACCATGCTGCCTGCAGCAGAGCGGTGGAATGCACCCCTGGGAGAGGCAGACTTTTTGTTGTTGTTGAGAGGGAGTCTTTCTCTGTCACCCAAGCTGGAGAGCAGTGGTGCAGTCTCAGCTCACTGCAACCTCCACCTCCTGGGTTCAAGTGGTTCTCCTGCTTCAGCCTCCCAAGTAGCTGGGATTACAGGCGCCCACCACCACGCCTGGCTAATTTTTGTATTTTAGTAGAGACTAGGTTTCATAATGTAGGTCAAGCTGGTCTCAAACTCCTGATCTCAAATGACCCACCCACCTCGGTCTCCCAAAGTGCTGGGATTACAGGCGAGAGCCACCGTGCCCGGCCCCCAGTCTTAAACAAAGCTGCAAAAACCAGGACATCTTTATACGTCCTACTGAAATAGGGGCATTTGGATTTAGATCACACCTTTCTTTTTTTTTTTTTTTGAGACTGAGTTTCGCTCTTGTTACCCAGGCTGGAGTGCAATGGCGCAATCTTGGCTCACCGCAACCTTCGCCTCCTGGGTTCAGGCAGTTCTCCTGCCTTGGCCTCCCGAGTAGCTGGGATTACAGGCATGCACCACCATGCCCAGCTAATTTTTTGTATTTTTAGTAGAGGCGGGGTTTCACCATGTTGACCAGGATGGTCTGGATCTCTTGACCTTGTGATCCACCCGCCTCGGCCTCCCAAAGTGCTGGGATTACAGGCTTGAGCCACTGCACCCGGCTAGATCACACCTTTGAAGGCCAAATGGCAGTCTTCACCAGGCAGGAGAAATGAGTAACCAAAGTTTTGTTTCCCTGCTTAATATATTTCAGTGGCTGTCCATCGTCAGGGTAAGATGGAGCCACTTAGTTTGGCTGTCAAGGCCATTTTTGACCTGGCTCCTGCCTGTCTCTCCAGCCTCTTATTAGGCTTCTGCATGCTCTGAAGGGCCTCAGGTGGACTGAGCCACATACAGTTCTTTAGGGACAGCCTGCCCTCTCCAGTCAGTGGCCTTTGCCTCTGCTGATCTCTCAGCCCCTTTCCTTATGAACCTATCTGATCCTGATCTGGCCCATTCAACAGAGGACTGCAGAATTCTGAGGAGCCTTAAGATAACAACTCAAAGGTAACTGTTTAAGGGAAATCTTAGATCACACCCTCCCTCATGTTTGATCAACTGTCTGCCCCAGGCTTTCTTAGCCCTTTGTTCTTTCCTTCCCAACACTTACTCAAGGTGTGGTTTTGCCCTGATCTGATTATTTAATTAATGCCTGTCTCTGGAAGAGACTGTGAGCCCTTTAGGGATATGACAGTGTCTATCTTCACTCCCCCTCTATCACTGACTAGTGCCAAGCTCTGTGTCCCCACAAGTAGGTACTTGATAAATATTTGCTGAATGAAAAAAGGACTCCAACAGCTAATGACTCTGCCTTTGAGAGGTTTTCTGGATAGAATGAGTTCTTGGCCATGTTTCTCTAGAATTCTAGAAAGAGGCTGGGTGGGAGTGGGGGTGGTTCTGAGGCTACTAAAAGAAAGACTGAAGGTTGTATAGGCAAATCCTACCTGCCAGTGCCCTAGACCCAAATGCATCAGGCTCACCCCAGGAAGGGCAGATCAGGTGGCTTGTTACAGAGGTGATATGAAGGGAAGGAAAAAGCCTTCTGAACCCAGAGGGAAGCCTAAATGCTAAGGAATGTTCTGGATCCTCAGCATCAAAAACTCCAGAGAGACGTGAACTGACTTCCCCCCAAACCAATGCCTAGTGGGTAACAGAAATAGAGGAATGTGCTGTTCATCAGAGCAACTAAAAGTTTGCAGAAATAACAATGCTCCTGCCGGTGAGGGTAGTGATGGGAGGAGAATCTGTCATTTTCGTGCTAGTTAAGAATTATCTACAGGCCTGGTGGTTCACACCTGTAATCTCAGCACTTTGGGAGGCTGAGGGGGGCAGATCACCTGAGGTCAGGAGTTCAAGACCAGTCTGACCAATATGGTGAAACCGAATCTCTACTAAAAATACAAAAATTAGCCAGGTGTGGTGGCATGGGCCTGTAGTCCCAGCTACTCAGGAGGCTGAGACAGAATTGCTTTGAAGCTGGGAGGTGGAGGTTGCAGTGAACCTAGATCGAGCCACTGTAGTACTCCAGCCTGGGTGACAGACTCCATCTTAAAAAAAAGAAAACGATATATCTGTCAGGCACTGTATTAGGTGTTGGAGATACTGAAATGTAACAACTATACAAGACAGGCATGGCTACTTTTCTCACAGAGCTCAAAGTCTAGTAGGGGAAACAGTAAACAGGCAATTTAAGGCAGACAGGGCTTGAAAATAGGAGAACAGTGCCTACCTTAAAAACGATGTTGTGAAATTAAATGAGATAATCCAGGGAAAGAGTATTATCGGGGCTTGGCACAGTGTAAGCCCTCTAAAAACGATAACTATTTTTTCTTGCTTCTGATAGGGAAGTTAAAATGCAGGGCTCTGTGGAAGTTAAGTGTAAAGAGATTTCTGATTTCTTCCAGGTCGGAGGCTAGGGAATCGCAAAGACCGCCTGAAGAAAACACAAGAGATCTAAGGAACATTTAGTTTGAGGGAGTGGGAGGGGGAGAAAAAAATAGCAACTCAGTTTCACCACTTTACAGCCTAAGAAGTCTTTGGCTTCCCTCATCTGGTTCGATCTTCAAAGCAACCTAATCAGACCGGTGTCTAGAGTTAATATTTCCGTTTTACATAAGAGGAAGTGAGACACAGCGCGGGGGAAAGGGCTTGCTCAGAGTCAGAAGCCAAGGAACCCGGTCTCTATGGTCCATTATGTGTGGGGAAGAGTGGACAAACACCGCGGGGCGTCGGTGAAACACTAGGTTATAAACGTGGAACAAAGTCCAAGAGTTAACGAGAGCGAGGCACCTCTTCCAGGGGTGGGCCAGGGAAGTTTCCTGGGGGAGCTGGCGTTGGAATAGGCTTCTTCGGCTGCTCGGTGTTAAGACTCCAGCCGTCTTACCTTTCTCCCTCCGTAGGATGCGCGGGTTCGTTCAGGAAGTAGCCGCTCCGCGAAGCCTCGGCAAGGGTCTTCGGGAGGGAGACCAGTTAGGATCCCGAAGCCTCAATCCCGGCTGGCCTAGCGCTTTGGTTTCCATAGCAATGGTGTCTTGTCGCAGAAAGGAAACACCTGTGCCGGGTCTTCAGCGAAATCCTGGCCTCGGTTCCGCGCTCCTGAGCAGCCCCACCCTGGCTCAACTGGTTGCCCGCCTTGCCAGCAAGCCAGGGCCACTGCAGTCCCCGTGGCGCAGCAGGGTCAGTTCATCTGACCGCGCCCCACTCCATCCAGCCATGCCCGTGTCCACGGCAACGCACCGCGTCGCCCCAGGGCGGCGGCCGAGGGACTATCTTACTGCTTCCGTAGCCTTCCGGACTCTGTGCGCATGTCCAGCACACCCGCCTCCCGCCCCCGCCCCGCCCCCGCCCCGCCCCCGCCCCCGCCCCCTGATGCGTCTCCCCCGCAACGCGCGCGGAGCTCGGCTCCAGGCTCCGCCCAGGGACTCACTGGGGTCCGCACGCGCCAAACGAGCGCGGCTGCCAATCGGCCTGCAATTTCCAACTGTTTCTCGGAGAGAAGCCGAAATTACACAGCCTACTAGGCCCTCTGTCACAAGGGACCTGGGATCCTCCACGGTATACGGGACTGGCGCCACCTTGCACTCGAAACACCAGCGCCATGGGCTCGGCAGCCAAGTAACCGGGCCGCCGCCGAGTAATCCGTACGGGTTCAGCCGCAGATCTGCTTCCCGCGCCGCGGACCGCGCAGTCGCCTGTGCTCTTCAGGTGTGGCCCGGGTGCCCAGAGCGTTCGTTAGACTTCGGTCCCGCGAGGGAGCCCGAACTCTTTCAGACTCGCGCTTCCTCAGCCGGACTCCGGCCCTTTTTCACGCCGGGTGTCTGGATTTCTCGTAGCCCCGGGCACAGCTCCTTCCCAGTCTAGCTCCTCAGATTCACTTAATCCCAATCTCCCGGAAGAACCTTGACTCCCCATCTCCAGTCCACATTTTTTCAGAATCGGTCCCAGCCCTTCAGTCTCCCAGGCATGACATCGTGTGGTCCCAGCCCTGACTCTCCTTAGAGGCTGGCGAGGCCCCGGTCCTCCCAGGCTCGAACCCGTCCCACACGCCCCGTCTCAGCCTCTGTGTTCCCGGGCCTCAGGTGATCCGCCTGCCTGGAAAAGCCCCCAGTTCCCTCTGCCTGGCCCCCGATCCTCGCAACCCCAGATTACCCACGCTCCTTTCCATTCCACAACCGATTTCTTTTTTTTTTTTTTTGTATTTTTTTTTAGTAGAGACGGGGTTTCACCATGTTGACCAGGATGGTCTCGATCTCTTGACCTTGTGATCCACCCGCCTTGGCCTCCCAAAGTGCTGTGATTACAGGCGTGAGCCACCGCGCCCGGCCGACCACAACCGCTTTCACGGCATCCTCCAGGTTCCCATCCGTGGAGGACTTGAGGTAGAAAGCAACTTGGTTCAAAATGACCATTATTTATTACTTGAAAGGGGATATTTTCAGTCGTTGCCAACCTCCTCCCTCCCCTTCTAGTATTGGTAAATTTGGTGCATTACTTAGTGGGTGAAGAGTTTTATGGGTCTTTAAATGTTTTCGGGATTTTTTTTTTTTGAGACGGAGTTTCGCTCTTGTTGCCCAGGCTGGAGTGCAATGGCGCGATCTCGGCTCACCGCAACCTCCGCCTCCTGGGTTCAGGCAATTCTCCTGCCTCAGCCTCCTGAGTAGCTGGGACTACAGGCACGCGCTACCATGCCCAGCTAATTTTTGTATTTTTAGTAGAGACGAGGGTTCACCATGTTGACCGGGATGGTCTCGATCTCTTGACCTCGTGATCCACCCGTCTCGGCCTCCCAAAGTGCTGGGATTACAGGCTTGAGCCACTGCGCCCGGCCGGGATTTTTTTTTTTTAACAACACCCAGGATTTGGGGGACTTCTGTGTTTGAGCATCTTAATCTCTAAACTAGCCTTTTCCATCATAGGCTATGCATAGAGGTCAGAAACACGTAAATGAGAGATGCGGAAGTTGGATTGTTCATACTAATTTGTAAATATGAAAGTGTTCACAACACTCCAGTTCCAAATTGGCTGAAAATGAATTAGAAAAACTAGTCCTTCAACATGTTGTATCCTTCTACAGTTGTCTTTTTTGTCCTAATTATAAAAGTAGTGTACACTTGTGGAAAAATGAGACCCGGCTTGGTGGCTCATGCCTGTAATCACACCACTTCACTTGGGGAGGCTGAGGGGGTTGGATCACCTGAGCTAAGGGGGTTCGAGACCAGCCTGGGCAACAGGGTGAACTCTCAGCTCTACCATCGTACCAAAATATATTCGATTGCTTCTATATTGTACATTTTGTTCGTGTATTTTAGAAAGAAAATATGAGCAATTTTTTTTTTCTTTGGAGACAGAATATAGCTCTGTCGCCCAGGATGGTGTGCAGTGGCACAATCTTGGCTCACTGCAACCTCTGCCTCCTGGGTTCCAGCGATTCTCCTGCCTTAGCCTACTGAGTGGCTGGGACTACAAGTGCTCACTACTACCACCCAGCTAATTTTTGTATTTTTAGTAGAGACAGGGTTCACCATGTTGGCTAGGCTGGTCTCAAACCCCTGACCTCAACTGATCTGCCCACCTCGGCCTCCCAAAGTGTTGGGATTAGAGGCGTGAGCCCTGCAACTGATCCCGAACAATTATTTATTTATTTATTTACTTTTTGAGACAGAGTTGCACTCTTGTTGCCCAGGATGGAGTGCAGTGGTGAGATGTCGGCTCACTGCAACCTCCACCTCCTGGATTCAAGTGATTGTCCTGGCCCAGGCTCCCGAGTAGCTGAGATTACAGGTATGCACCAATATGCCCGGCTAATTTCGTATTTTTAGTAGAGATGGTGTTTCTCCATGTTGGTCAGGCTAGTCTTGAACTCCCAGCCTCAGGTGATCCGCCTGCCTCGGCCTCCCAAAGTGCTGGGATTACACTGTGCCCGGCCTTAACAATTATTTTTAAATGAGTAAAACCATTTAAAGGTATATGTTTATAAGACTACTTCATGATGTAACCAAATTATCAAAAAGTGAAAACTCAGTGCCTAGAAGTATATCTGCTTTTCACCATTTCCTCGTTTTGACCAAATTGTTGTATTTTCACCTGGAGTACCTGGCATCCTTCTACCCCACCCCATCCCATCTTTCCCCTCTCACTTTTCAGAGTCTCCTAAACTCCTGTCCACCCCACACCTCCCCCACTTTTCTAAACTTTCCCCAGACCGTCTTCCAGAATTCCCCTATTAACCAGCCTAATGTCTTTCCAAACTATTTTCATTTCTCCCTGCTGTGATCTATACTCCCAATTCCTTGCCTCCCAGATCCCCTTTAGGCATAGGCTCTAGATCAAGTGCCCCCCCTACAAGCTAGACACCTCTCAGATTTATCCTCTGAACCCTACCCTACAACTTTTACACCTCTCCTCTAAGACCCCTCTCTCCCATTTTATCCTTAAGGATCATCAAAATGACTACTTTTGGCCGGGTGGGCACAGTGGCTCTCACGCATGTAATTCCAGCATTTTGGGAGGCTGAGGTGGGCATATCTCTTGAGGTCAGGAGTTCATAACTAGCCTGGCCAACATGGTGAAACCCTGTCTCTACTAAAAATAATAATAAAAAAAAATTAGCTGGTGTGGTGGTGCACACCTGTAATCCCAGCTATTTGGGAGGCTGAGGCAGGAGAATTGCTTGAATCAGGAGGTGGAGGTTGCATTGAGTCGAGATTGTGCCACTGCATTGCAGCCTGGGAGACAGAGTGAAACTCCATCCCAAAAAACAAAATAAGGTGACTGCTTCTGAGGATAGTTCTGAGTTCCTGATAACCCTTCTCCTGTGGACTGGACTGCACTGGGACTTTACATCCACAGAATGGCTTTTCTTCTGGGTGTCCATGAAACACTCCTTTAGCATACCTTTTCCACAAGAAGAAACTGTGGTTACTTCCTTGCTCCTCTGAAAATTGTGACAGAGCTGCAGTTGTCCTAAGAGACCTGGGGAAGCCTGAGCTACTACCCCAGGACCCCATCAAATCTGTTCTGGCCCTGGCCTCAGCCATCTGTAACTTGTACCATCTTTCCCTCCCTGCTCCAGCTGAATGAATCCCAGTGAAGCAGCAGTGAAAAGATTTTTACCCGAGAGCCATTTGTCTTGGGTGGTTTTTCGTGACAACCTCATTGCACAACAAATCCGAATCTATGAGGTGGAGGTAAAGTAGCCACAAGCTTTTGCATTAGAGGGTGTTAGTGGCTTGACCCATGTTCATTTCATTCTGCCTATATCCTGGGGGATCATTAGAGGTGATAAGAAGTCATCAAGGTACTCTAAGGCAGGCCCCACTTTACAGAGAAGGCAATTGATACTCGGGGTTACTGACTTACCCAAGGTGTCACACCTTTTCCTGGGGTAAGGAAGCCAGAGAGAAAGACTCCATGTCTCTTGGGTCTTTTTTTTCTGAAAGCACATTACCTAGGGAATCCATGAATGGATTCTTATTTTCTTCCATACAAAGTCTTGAGTTCTAGGCTGGGCGAGGTGGCTCATGCCTATAATCTCAGCATTTTGGGAGGCTGAGGCAAGAGGATTGCTTGAGGTCAGGAGGTCAAGACCAGCCTGGCCAACGTGGTAAAACCTAATCCCTACCATAAATGCAAAAATTAGCCAGGTGTGGTGGTACATGCCTGTAATCCCAGCTACCAGGGAGGCTGAGTCCGGAGAATCCCTTAAACATGAAAGGCGGGGGTTGTAGTGAGCCGAGACTGCACCACTTTACAGGCATACACCACCATGCCCAGCTAAGTTTGTATTTTTAGTAGAGATGGGGTTTATCCATGTTGGTCAGGTTGGTCTCGAACTCGACCTCAGGCAATCCACCACCTCAGCCTCCCAGAGTGCTGGGATTATAGGTGTGAGCCACTGTGCCCGGCAACCTAATTATTTTATTTTATTTTATTTATTTTTGAGACTGAGTCTTGCTCTGTCACCAGGCTGGAGTGCAGTGGAACAATCTTGGCTCACTGCAACCTCCACCTCCCGGGTTCAAGCCTCAGCCTCCTGAATAGCTGGGTTTGCAGGCACCCACCACCATGCCCAGCTATTGTATTTTCAGTAGAGACAGGGTCTCACCATATTGGCCAGGCCACTCTCAAACTCCTGATGTCAAGTGATGTGCCCACCTCGTCCTCCTCCCCCAGCCTATATGCAAAACTTTAGTATGTATGCTTATTTATATATTCCGTAGGTTTCATAATAGTCTTAAATGGTTCACAATCTTCCCACACATTTCAGACCACTGACTTTGAGACTTTGCACTCAGGATGTTTGACCAGCA